AAGTGTAGAGTCAAGTATCAAGTGTAGAGTAAAGTACGGAGTCAAGTAAGTTGATTCTATGTCTGTCATCTATGTACTCAGCTGCGGCGTTCCACACGGAAGAACCCTTCGCGATGCTTTCGGGAATTGTATAAGGACCCCCAACTAAGGTACCCCTAATTTTCGGCATCTCCCATATTCTGAAGTTTTGTCAGCCCGTCCAAACTGAAGAGTTTCGTGTCTAACCCGACTCCCTGCACCCTCAACCTGAAACCCCGGCACGTCCTGGGCTCTTGTTCAGGGACTTAAATTCAGTTAGCATGAAAGGGATCTACGAAGCTACGATGAATAGTATGATATCCTGTTTGCGTTAAGTTAAAACAAGTTCCTTCACAAGAACCCGGATTCAGGAGATACTCTATGGAAGCCCCATGAAGCTCAGCCACGCCGTCCGCCAAAGTGCACAGCGTGGCATCCTCCGTGAGGAGCCGCCAGTGATTGTCAGGAGTTTAGGGTTCAGAGGGGTTTAGGGTTTAGGGGTTCAGGGATAGATAAAATTAGCAGTATGACTGTTCAGAGTTCCTACTTGTTGAAGTTATGAACTGCAACTTTACTCGCTGGGAACCCTATGGTTCGGGTTCAGGGCAGTATGCAAGTGTGGTAGTTTCAACAACAGTTGAATTGGGCTTGCTGTGCTGCAGTCACCTACATTACCAGCCGCACCTTGATCTAGTACAACTGTTACAACTGGGTATCTTGCGTGAAGACCTGCATTGACTGTTCGTAGTTCTTTTGATTATCATTATAAGGCAGAGCTGTCGGGGCTACTGAATTTCTAGCAAATTCCAGGCAAACTGGCAGGATTTTCTGCCATAACCTTTCAACCCTGAGCCCTAACAACCGGGATCAAGCCCCAAACCTGAAGCCGAAGCCCCCAAGGATCTGCCTCCTGATGGGCTCAATATAGGCACCTTTATTTTTACTGGTAATCGTATTCTTTAGGGCTCCCGAATATATCCATGTTTAGGGTTTAGGGGTTTAGGGTTTAGGGCTGAGTATAAAGCACCCATGACTCAGGTTCCCTATATTAAGCCAGCCCTGAGGATCTGTTGAAGCTCCTGGAGGAGAAGTGACTGTCGGGTTCAGGGCCTTGAGAGTTTTGGAGTTTAGGGTTTGAGGGTTTAGGGTTTGTCGAAGCTTAGGTTCAGGGCCGTGAGGGTTTTGGAGTTCAGGGTTTGAGGGTTATAAGGGTTTGTAGTAGCTTAGGTTCAGGGCCGTGAGGGTTGTGGGGTTGAGGGTTTAGGGCTTGTAGTGGATCTTAAGGGTTGTGGAGTATAGGGGTTGAGGGATTGAGGGTTTTGGGCTGACGGGTGAGGGTTTAGAGGGTTTAAGGGCTCAACCTTAAGGGCTGGGGGGCTTTGAGTTTAGTGTTTGCTGCGCTGGGGCTTCTGCAAAGGGTTTAAGACCAGTTTTGGATGGTTTACTTGGAGGATCATGGGACTTAGTAAGTAGGGTTATAAGTACCTCTATTGGGGTTAAAGTAGTTTTAACTTTTTCTCCGCGTACTTTCTATCCTCATTGCAGGATCCCACCGATGAAACAGGGCATCCGAACGGTCGATGATATAAATCCTGAATCACTCATAATAAGGAATATACCAGAAGTCCCATAGTTTAGGGTCCTTAAGGTAGTGCAGGATTTATATCTTCAACCGAATCAAGCACTACGGTTGGGGGTCTGTGGATGCCCTACTCTTCTTGTGGAGATCGCGAGGACAAGGCCAGCATCAGTGTGCTCAGCTTGGTTTTGACGACTTACAGCTTCTACTTTTGCGTGCAGGCGCCTGATTCAAAACCGGTGGAACCCGATTTCCAAGAGCGAGCCCCTAGCCCAAACCGAGTGTAATCGTCAAAATGAAGCCTACCTGGCGCAGTTCGAGTCAGTTCGAGTGACAGCGTCAGAACCTCAAAATCGTAAACCTCCTAATGTGCGAAACCCCACATCTCCAATCTGACTGTCAACTTTCCAACCCTCAAAATCGAAGCCTTGTCGAAAGTCTGAAGTCTCGAAAGGCCCGACGTCGAAGCCCGAAGCACGAAGCCCAAGGGTTGAAACATCCGACAAGATCGAAGTCCATGAAAGTCCTTTTCGTTTAGGGTTTAGGGTTATACTATATAACTCTAAACTCGCGTTCCGCGTGTTTTTTGTGGGTCTGTTTGTGGTCCGTGTTACTGGGCCGGGGCCACACCAAAGTTATGTAGTTGGGAAGGAAAGCGAGTGTGCACCCAGGCGCCTTTTCAAGCGATGGCTCTGCTGTTCAGCACCTCGGATTCTGGTTTACCCGTTTCCTTTCATGCAGAAGACGAAGACGTGGATAAGAGCAATACGCCTTAATTAGAAAACAGCACGTGTAGGCCGTCAAGTAGAGCCTTTTGTCTAGGGTCCTGCCACTACGGCCTTTCAACCAGAGGGACAGGCAAGTAAACCATAAACCCAAAACCCCATTTCTGCCTGGAGTGTCCGAGTGTGAGCGCCGAAACCCCATTTCTCGAGGCATTGTCCTCAACGTGTATGCAGTCACGGGCTTCATCTTTGAGCAGATCGATCTAGATCTGGCTCGAGCCGGTGAAGACAGCCTGCCCCGAACAGGGCGTGCGCTGATTTCACTGTAAGGCTGTGGAATTGCGATTTCGCGTTTAGGTTTAGGAAGGATGCCGTTGAGGTGTAAAGGGCGAAGTGACTGGAGGGCTAGTCGGGGTCTTATTCCTGTGAATACGATTCCGGTATACAAAGCTTAATTGGCTTATGCTTGTGCTGTTTCTGTCCCGATGTTGCGCTTTGCCTGTTCAATCAAATCCGAGCCCACTTGCAGCTGCCGGACTTCTGAGTCCATGAGGCAGAGGCAGAGAGGGGGCTTTGAGTAGGCTTGGCCGTCCGGGACTTTTTTGGAGTTGAGAACTGTCAGGCAGCACCTGACTTCTGGTGAAAGGTGAAACTACGTAGGCCCCAGCCCTCGTCCTCGAGTTTGCTGGGCTTCTGGGTGACCCGCTTCTATGCTTCTCCACTCCAACCGTGGCAACCTGGACGGCCAGGAGATAGCGAGTAGTTAGATCCTCAGAGACTCCAAGCATCCTTATTTCGATGTTTGATGTCTTGCGGCTGAATATGAACCCCTACTTCAGAGTTGTTGAGGAGCTTCGCTGTAGTAGCGGATATGAGGAGTCCCTGAGTCTATAGCTGGCTTCAACGAAGTTGAGCCATATGACCGGAGCAAGTTTGAATCCTCTTGGAGCGAAAAGGTCCTAATTCTGCTCTACGCTTGGGGGCGTAGAGCCCGAGTGCGAAAGGAGTTCCTGCAAGAGGCAGCATCGCCGAATTCTGAGTTTGATGGCCTTTTGACTTGAAAGTTATTGAGCGGGGGTCTGTATACCGAGGTTAAGTACCCTAGCTTCTTGGCTTATGATATAGTCGAAGACACCCGCCAACGTCGTCATTCCGTTTCGTTTCAACGACCCTCTAATCATCTGACACCTTTATATGCCAAGTTCTGGCCATGGGCCTTTAAATGAGCCGTTCCATCGAGCATCAGTTAACTTTCATCGCGACATTACATGGGTGGCCGTCAAACTTAGGGTCCCTTTTTGGGTACCCTAAATATTAGGTGCCGTATAATATAATATGGACCCCAAAGAGGGACCATCATATTGACAACTACCCACATGTTGTCAGGGGGTGCTGTTCCTGTTCCGTGACCCCGGCTTTAGAACTACAGGCCAGGCCTCAGGGGCACTACTATGCACTACTCGTTCTTTCAGAAGCACAAGTCGCAAGTGGTAATACTGGGACGAGGAGCAAGTACTAGTGAACAGAATGATCTTGGGCCGGTGACCATGGTAGTTCAACTGGCAGTATGTGTACCACCCGGACGAGCAGCAAGCAGCGCTCAGCAGCGCTCGTGGCCACCCGCAGTGCCCGTAGTACCAGAATACTTACTGTAGCCTGTCTCTTGCAGGTCTGTTAGTCTATACACACTATATGTTGAATAATGTGTCGATTATCGGTTCCTTGTCATCAAGCATGAAGGTCTAGGGGTCCATGTTTAATATTTAATGTGAAAGCTACGATGTATCCACATCTAGGTTCAGCTCGGGTCTCGAGTTAAATGCAAAGTCCAATATAGGTTCAGCACTGTCTTGGGTAATTGTCCAGTTGCAGCAGCCCGAACCCTAACCCCACACCCTAAACCAGCGACTTTGCCGAAGCCACGTGGCCCAGCACGCTCTATCTCAGGCCTTCCCTAGCCTTCTGGGCCCACCCAACGCTCTACGTCCATGCACATACTCAGGACCTGTTTCATGGGGATATCGTATGAAGCTGCCACGTTGGCTTTGGGGAAGGTTTCGGTGGCTAAAGAGCCAGAAGCCGTGCAAGCCCCTGAACCGCTTTGGAATTGAAGGGACCCCCCGAATACGAACCTGGGCAACAGACAGACCTGGATTTAGGATTCCGAGTTTATGGGATTCAGATGCCGCATTGGGAGCGGTATATAACGCGCAGGGATGCGCAGGGTTTACATACAGCAGAGTCCTGCTGTAAGGTGCCGATGTGGTATACTTGTGATCACTGAGTCGTTTCTCAACTTGTCAACACGCCCCGCTTGTGCCCCTCAGACCCGTAAACCCTGAGTCCATGTTTTAAAAAAGCCTAGAACATGTTGCTTCGGAGCTGATCCTTGGAATGAACATGCACCCGTCTAGCATTGACCACAGACTCAAGGAGTCTCAGAGCTTCAGTTGGGTCCAGGATTTTGGATAGAATTTGGAGGACGTTTTTAGGTTTGAAGGCTCAGGAGTTAGCGCGTAGATTTAAGTTTAGCGTATAGGGCTTAGCTCGAGTGTCAGCCCTCCAGCTTGCAACGCCCTACCAAGCCCGCTGTAAGGCCGGAACTCAAATCTCCAGTCGTGAATATGCCGGGCTCAAGCTGCCGCAAGCTCTGTGAGAGTTAGCTGAAAGACCAGAGGATGGCGCTTGCGAGAGAGGCAATGCCCAGCCGCGTCTCGGAACTACCTGCAACGGCTGTGTCAGAGCTCCTCGATGCACCACCAGGGTTGACGAAGCAATCTTGCGAGTTCAAGGTTGCCTTGGCTGAAGCTTGCAAGCCTCCCACTGGCCGTCCAGCAGCACATTCGGAAGCCGACACCATCAGCACGGCCTCCGGAAGTGAAGATGTCTTGGATCATGACTTGCCTGGCGACAACCAAGTGGGAAATGACTGGCATAACTACAGCACGGAGGGCGTTCCGCAGCAGCCGTTTGCCGATCCATACGCGAACTGCTGGCAAAGGATGACGGTGCCTTTGAGCGATCATGTTGTTGGCCTTCTCTCCTCACGAAGGGGGAAGCAACGCTTGTCGGTGCTGCAAAAGCAAAGCGGAGCCCATGCAAGACTCAACCTGGAGTGGCGTGCTTTGCACCTGTGCGGCACACATCAGGCCATCCTGAACGCCATGGTCTTGATGGAGTTGATGGAAGGCTTCACCGTGAATTTGCCCATGCCGTTGTGGACAGAACTCCTTCGTTGCAGAAACCTTGGCTCCCACGAAGCTCCGCTGTCTTTGGCACGGGTTCAGGAATTTCTGAGCCGGCGGATTCACGTCGAGCGCGAGAGCTTCGAACTTCGCGTCTTCGCCCCGCTGGCCGAAAGAGCAGCAACTTAGTCGTAGAGTAGACTTTCTCTTTTTTTTGTCGGTTACGTTAATCCCTACTATAGGGGCCTATTCCATCTTAAGGGTTCCTTATTATAATTGTCGTATACTAGGCCCTTCTAGTTCCTTTAGGATACTGGATTTCCAAGGCAACCATCGGGAAAGTACAGCTGCTCGCGTCTCTTTGCACCAAGCAGACGGTCGAGCTGCCGGCTGATTGCAACTGGAACATCATCAAGGACTCCCTGGTTCTTTGTAAGGAAAGGGGGTTTAGGGTTTAGGGGTTGGAGGTTCAGGGTTTGGTTCTAAGGACCCCCTGGTTCTTTGTAAGGAACGGGGGAATGGATCCGTAATGGATCCCCAATGAGAGGCCCCCGAAGTCCCCCATAGTAGTCCCTACAACCATGCCCCCCATTCCCTGCTAAGAGTCGGGGAGAGGAGAGCAGGGTTGCTTCAAACCTGTCTGCTATGTCTGGAGTCTGAATGCGTCAGCTAGGGTGCTGCGTGGTCATTCTCGCGTTCGTGAAGAAGTGGTCCGTGTCAACCAATGCTGAGATTTCGTGTAACCAACTTCAAATTGGTTCGTGAGGCTGGAGTGGTTGTTGAGGTTTCCTGTTTGAGTTGTGAGTGGGCCGCCAAAGTGAAGGCAGAGGTTTGTGCCTGGCATATGTCGGCATTGCTTGCTGCTTGAAGGGCGGCTTGCGGATTTTCGCTTTCGTGAGGGGCCTGAAGGGCTTTAGCCTCATGCGTTGCCTGGCGCTGCTAGACCCTCTGGATGTAACGGCGGGGAGAGAGAGAGAGAGAGAGAGAGAGAGAGAGAGAGAGAGAGAGAGAGAGAGAGAGAGAGAGAGAGAGAAAGAGAGAGAGAGAGAGAGAGATAGAGAGAGAGAGGGAGTGGCAGGTTTTTTCAAGTACAGCGAGCTCCCCAGGCAGCAGCCTGGGTACATGTACTGCCATCGCAAGCTAGAGCCAAACCGTATTCTTTGGCCTTCCCACATCCTGATGTTTCAACAGTTTTGTGGTTCCACTCTTTCGAGTGGTTTAGCTCGTTTAACAGCTCCAACACGTGCGTTCCTAAACATCCAAGTTTTAAACCTAGAAGTCATGCCTCCGCAAAGCCTGTCAAGGAGATGCAGGCGTCGGAGAAAGTCACCATGAAGTTGGAGGGGAGCAGAGTGGAGTTGATAGGCATCGTGTCGGCCGTGCAGCAAGCTGCAGAAGATCTGAAACGAGGAGTTCGTTCTGAAGAGCCCAGACCAACATTTCTGAGGGAGCCCCCTGGTTTGACGCACCCGGGGGAAGCCCAGCAGTGGCTTGCCATCTAAGGCCTCTTGTGTTGCGAGCTTTAGGTTTCTAGACCCTGAAGTCCTTAGTAACAAAGCCCCAAAGCCTGATCCTTCAAGATCCTAAAGTACGGGTAAAGAGCCAGTGCACTTAAAAAAGATAAAAAAGAAAGACCCTAAAGTCTACAGACGATCTGAATGTGCTAACGGCAGCCGCGACAAAGGTATAGAGCCATGCTTCTGCTGACCTGCCAATGCCGGGCGCATACGGAACCGATTGATACGGTGTGCGGTCATGGTTCATATTTTGCCAAGATATACTCAAAACGCATTAGGCAGAAAAAGGTACATCTGACCCAGCCTTGCGCTGCGTAGCAGGATGCCTACTGGCGGCAATCCTCTGTCTTGCGACAGCAAGTTGCCAGTTCCATGCGGGCACTTGTACTTACACCCCACACATTCGGCATTCCTTGCCTGCATTCCAGATACTACAGTCTTGTTGGCATGTTATGAGAAAGAGACCCCATCAACATAGCCATGTCTGTTGTTTGAATGTTTAACTTGCATACCAACACCCCACAGAGACATAGCAAGCTCTACACCCTAACGTCCTGACACCCCAAACTCTAAATCTCCACCTCACAACTGCCTGCATACATGATTTTGGACTCGATGTCCCATGTGCCCACGGGCCGGACTCATCTGTGGATATTAGGACGGAGGTTGAGGATCCATGCTGTCTGAAAGAGTTTAGGGCTTAAGGTTTTGGATTCGGGATGTCAGGGATTTCGATTCAGGATTGGGGATGACTCTTATCCTGAACCTGCGGCCGGTTCCAAAGTTTTGGTTCGGTGGCCTGCGGGGTCTTAGAAGGAGGCCATTTGTTTTCCGCGGCCAGTCGATAATTCGGTACTTTCGAGCATGCAAGCACATTGTAAATGTTGCGACCGCAGTGCAATTTTTACACAAACCTTCCTGCCGAGGGTAGCATTGCGAATTATACGGCCTTCCTCCCGAGGGAAGGTTTCGAGACTTGTAAGATCACGGTATGATCATACCTTCCTGAAGCTGGCCGATTCCTGCTCAAGTTGCCCCGACGGTGCGAGAGCATGGTCAAAAAAGGGGTTCAACCTTACGAGATCATTGATCTCAAAGGGTTCAATGCCGCAAATACTACCATCTGCATTGTTCACCTGTTTCTTGACATATGATACATGTGTGTAGTATACCAGCATAGTTACAATACAGGGTATTTGTACCGCTGCCTTCCTTCCCAATACTGTAGATGTGGGTTATATATCATATTTGCAGATTCGTGTGCTTGTGTTCAGTGCTAGCTCCAAATGTGTGTTTCCTGTGCAATTCAAGATATCCCAGAACCTGCAGCTTAAACCCTAAACCTTAAACCCTAAACCCTAAACCCGCTGTGGTTCGTCCGAGTGTGAGTGCTGAAACCCTAAACCCGGTGATAGAGCCGTCAAAGGACCCCTTCGGGGAAGCTGTAAGGAGGAACCTGATGAAGAAACCCTGGGCCCATAACCCCAGAATAGTAGGATTCATGTAAGGAGCCCTAATAAACACCCAGGGTTTCTTAATCAGGTTGCTACATTGGGGGAAGCCTGCTTGGAGGATCATGGGACTTAGTAAGTAGGGTTATAAGTACCTTAATTGGGGTTATAAGTAATTATAACAGTAGTTACCTTAGTTATAACCCCAAGTACTAAGTCCCATGACCCTTTAAGTGGCATGATTGGGTGAGGATTCCCGCTCTCGTTTCGGCTATCGCCATCTGCCTGCCCGCGGTCTTCGCCACCGAAGCGCTGCAGGGCAACAAGGAAGAGGCGATTTGTTGGAGGGGCTTCTTTACTGTAGGGTTTAGGGTTTGCCCGCTGCAAAAGGGTTTAGGGTTTAGGGTTTAGGAGTGTCAGTTCCTGGCATATGCGTAGTCCAGGTGTAAAAAGGGTTTAGGAGTTTAAGGTTTTGGGGTTCACGGTTTAGGGCAAAGCGGAAAGCCTGTTGCAAAAGGGTTTCTTCACTGTGGAAGGTCTCCTTACAAGGGTCCATTCTGGGTTTAGAGCGGATTTTTGCACGAAATTGAGCAGGTTACAGGGAACAGGCTTTTGTTGGGTGGTGCAGGTTGCTGGGTCATCTTTTCATGCGCTTCGGGATCAAGTGACTTCGAGACGAAGTGTATGTATTTAAAGCTATATAAAGCTAGATGAGATAGATACCAGTACAGGCGCGATACTTTTTTGATGAGTTCATGCATGTATTTTGTGTACATACATGTGTAACCATGTCTGAATGAATGAGTGAGCTTGTATGCACGTAAGTCTGTGTGCGTGCAAAGCATGTATGTGGCCAGCCAGCCAGCCAGCGGCCAGTCGTCCATGTGCGCATACGTTCGCCAATCGACCTGCCCGTTTCTGTGGCTTTACGTTTCTATCGATCGGTCTATCCATTTATCTAAATTTCGTTGTCTTAAACGGATGTAACCTAAGCCCATGAATCTAGTCAAAATCCTAACTGATCTACTCTAGCTGGTCTAACCTTGTCTAGCCTAGTCACTGAGTCCTGTCTGTCCGTCTGTCTGTCCGTCCGTCTGTCTGTCGTTTGGGGCGTCAGGTAGTTCGGGTAGGGGCATTATATGAAGTAGCACCATCTCGGCCTTGTGTTACAGCAGATGAACGTGACTTCTCATCACAGAGTGAAACCCTACACATGGACAATCAAATCGATTGCCGTATCGTTTGGTGTTTGGCTGTCGAAAGTGGGTGTCATTAGTTTCCGAGTCCGTCGGACATCTGTCAGGGTCGTTGCTTGGCCTTGCCTAGCTGTGACTGCTGAATGCTGAAAGCCTAGCCTTGAATCATTGGCCCCAAGCCCTGCCAAGCGACACACAAAACAAGAACGAAAGCCCATAAATCCTAGAAAAGGCCTTCGAAGGAGCTCTGCAAGACCTGAAGCTCCTCTTCTCCTTCGCCGTGGGCAGCTCGACTTTCAGATATTTAGGTGTTTGGGAAGTAAGGTCTACTGTAGGAATTGCTCTATGTTAGGATTCCGGATTTTTGGGATTGGCGTTCAGGCTTAATAATATGAGGTGCAAGAGTTCAGGGATCGGTGGGCTTACCACACCATGGCTGCTGAACTTACTCCTTCCCCACTCCGCACATGTTTCGAGGGAATGAAGCGAAGCTTGATCTGAGGTAACTAGCTCTTTCCCCTAAGGCTGCATGTACCCGAAAAGTATATACATTGGCCCCAGGGTACCTTTATAGGGACTACTTTAAGGCCAATGTGTATACTATTTGGGTACATGGACCCTTAGGGTCTGGGGGTACAGTAAAATTTGCTGGTGGTCTCAACAGTAAAAAGAATCTTTGTTTGGTTCTAGCAGGGTCGACAGAAGGGCCCCTGACTTTCAAGTAGTTGGGTAGCCTTTGGAGTTTACAAGAAAAAAAGGAGGTTTACAGCAAACAAGAGCCTTCAATTTCCTACAGCTGCACGAACCCTAGCTTAATTGCTGGAAACACCTACGCGCCAACAGCAAAACTGAATTTACGGCCCTTGTGAAGGCAGACCTTCAACCTAAGCCCTACCCTCCCCCCCTCTCCCCGCACCTTAAAATTTGAACCTGCAGTCGCTCATGGAATCTTACAAAGTCCTGACGATGGTCTCGAAGACCCTTCAGCCTTGAAGTCTGAACTCTGGGAACCTTTACGGAATCCTTAGGCGAACAATGGAACCCCGGAAACTTTTGGCAGGACTTTATTTGCTAAACACGACCCTCAGATTTAAAAGTTGAACCCGAACCACTAGAAACCGTTATTGTATGGTCCTCTTGATAAACGAAATCACCCTAAACCCTAAACCCTAAACCCTAATCCCTAAACCCAAAGGCTTAGAGGAACCGTGAAAGCCTTTGACAGAGGCATCCTCTTTGTTCGCTCCATGGAGGTGGTAGTCGACTCTGAGGACGCGCCTTTCGTGGGGGGTTTAGGGCTTAGGGCTTAGGGGTTAAGAGTTTAGGAGTTTAGGGCTTACGGTTTAGGGCTTAGGGTTTCGGAGTTTAGGAGTTTAGGAGTTTACGGTTTGGGGCTTAGGGTTTCGGAGTTTAGGAGTTTAGGGCTTACGGTTTAGGGCTTAGAGTTTCGGAGTTTAGGAGTTCAGGGCTTACGGTTTGGGGCTTAGGGTTTCGGAGTTTAGGAGTTTAGGGCTTACGGTTTGGGGCTTAGGGTTTAGGAGTTTAGGAGTTCAGGGCTTACGGTTTAGGGCTTAGGGTTTAGGAGTTTAGGAGTTTAGGGCTTACGGTTTAGGGCTTAGGGTTTCGGAGTTTAGGAGTTTAGGAGTTTACGGTTTGGGGCTTAGGGTTTCGGAGTTTAGGAGTTTAGGGCTTACGGTTTCGGGCTTAGAGTTTCGGAGTTTAGGAGTTCAGGGCTTACGGTTTGGGGCTTAGGGTTTCGGAGTTTAGGAGTTTAGGGCGGTTACTTAGGGTTTGGGGCTTAGGGTTTAGGAGTTTAGGAGTTCAGGGCTTACGGTTTAGGGCTTAGGGTTTAGGAGTTTAGGAGTTTAGGGCTTACGGTTTAGGGCTTAGGGTTTCGGAGTTTAGCAGTTTAGGAGTTTACGGTTTGGGGCTTAGGGTTTCGGAGTTTAGGAGTTTAGGGCTTACGGTTTCGGGCTTAGAGTTTCGGAGTTTAGGAGTTCAGGGCTTACGGTTTGGGGCTTAGGGTTTCGGAGTTTAGGAGTTTAGGGCTTACGGTTTGGGGCTTAGGGTTTAGGAGTTTAGGAGTTCAGGGCTTACGGTTTGGGGCTTAGGGTTTAGGAATTTAGGAGTTTAGGGCTTGCGGTTTAGGGCTTAGGGTTTAGGAGTTTAGGAGTTTAGGGCTTACGGTTTAGGGCTTAGGGTTTAGGAGTTTAGGAGTTTAGGGCTTACGGTTTGGGGCTTAGGGTTTAGGAGTTTAGGAGTTCAGGGCTTACGGTTTGGGGCTTAGGGTTTCGGAGTTTAGGAGTTCAGGGCTTACGGTTTAGGGCTTAGGGTTTAG